GGGGGGGGGGGAGAGAGAGAGAGAGAGAAAGAGAGAGAGAGAGAGAGAGAGAGAGAGAGAGAGAGAGAGAGAGAGAGAGAGAGAGAGAGAGACAGACAGACAGATGAATTCTGAACCAAATCACTTACGGCGGGAGGAAAGATGGTTAATGGAGGCTATATATTCCGCCGAATGTATAGTGAAAAGAGTCTTATATATGGTATACCGAAGACAAACACATCCATGAAGTGACAATACACTTCAGGATTTACTTAGTCATTTTTTTTTATTTGGCATATTATATCTCGACGTGTATTCGGTGTTTCGTTACCTAAATACACTTCGGGATTTTCGGGATTTCACTTAGGGATTTTTTTCAATGTGGCATATTATATCCCAACGTGTATTCGGTGTTTCGTTACCGAAATACACTTCGGGATTTTCAGGATTTCACTTCGTTATTTTTTTCAATCTTGCATATTATATCCCGACGTGTATTCGATGTTTCGTAACCGAAATACACTTCGGGATTTTTGGGACTTTACTTAGTCATTTTTTTCAATCTGGCATATTATATCTCGACGTGTATTCGGGGTTTCGTTACTGAAATACACTTCGGGATTTTCGGGATTTTACTTAGTCATTTTTTTTTATCTCGCACATTATATCCCGACGTGTATTCAGTGTTTCGTTACCGAAATACACTTCGGCATTTTGGGGATTTTAATTAGTCATTTTTTTCGATCTGGCATATTATATCCCAACGTGTATTCGGTGTTTCGTTACCGAAATACACTTCGGGATTTTCAGGATTTTACTTAGTTGTTTTTTTCAATCTGGCATATTGTATCCCGACGTGTATTCGATGTTTCGTTACCGAAATTCACTTCGGGATTTTTGGGATTTTACTTAGTTATTTTTTTCGATCTGGCATATTGTATCCCGATGTGTATTCGGTGTTTCGTTACCGAAATACACTTCGGGATTTTCGGGACTTTACTTAGTCATTTTTTTCGATCTGGCATATTGTATCCCGACATGTATTCGGTGTTTCGTTACCGAAATACACTTCGGGATTTTCGTAATCTTACTTAGTCATTTTTTTCGATCTGGCATATTGTATCCCGACGTGTATTCGGTGTTTCGTTACCGAAATACACGTCGGGATTTTCGGGATTTTACTTAGTCATTTTTTTCGATCTGGCATATTGTATCCCGACGTGTATTCGATGTTCCGTAACCGAAATACACTTTGGCATTTCCGGGATTTTACTTAGTCATTTCTTTCGATCTGGCATATTATACCCGATGTGTATTCGGTGTTTCGTTACCGAAATACACTTAGGGATTTTCGGGATTTTACTACGTCATTTTTTTAGATATGACATATTGTATCCCGACGTATATTCGGTGTTTCGTTACCGAAATACACTTCGGGATTCTCGGGATTTTACTTAGTTATTTTTTTCAATCTGGCATATTGTATCCCGACGTATATTCGGTGTTTCGTTACCGAAATACACTTCGGGATTTTCGGGATTTTACTACGTCATTTTTTTTTATCTGGCATATTATATCCCGACGTGTATTCGGTGTTTCGTTACCGAAATACACTCTGGGATTTTCGGGATTTTACTTAGTCATTTTTTTTAATCTTACATATTATATCCCGATGTGTATTCAGTGTTTCGTTACCGAAGTACACTTTGGGAGTTTTGGGATTTTACTTAGTTATTTTTCTCGATCTTGCATATTGTATCCCGACGTGTATTCGGTGTTTCGTTACCAAAATACACTTCGGGATTTTTCGGATTTTACTTGATTATTTTTCTCAATCTGGCATATTGTATCCCGACGTGTGTTCGGTGTTTCGTTACCGAACTACACTTCGGGATTTTCGAGATTTTACTTAGTCATTTTTTTCGATCTGACATATTGTATCCCGACCTGTATTCGTTGTTTCATTACCGAAATACACCTCGGGATTCTCGGGATTTTACTTAGTTTTGTTTCTACGTTATATCCCAAAGTATTTTCAGTGTTTCGTTACCGAAATACACTTCGGGATTTTTGGGATTTTACTTGGTCATTTTTTTCGATCTGCCATATTGTATCCCAACGTGTATTCAGTGTTTCGTTACCAAAATACACCTCGGGATTTTTAGGATTTTACTTAGTCATTTTTTTCAATTTGGCATATTGTATCCCGACGTGTATTCGGTGTTTCGTTACCGAAATACACTTCGAGATTTTCGGGATTTTACTTAGTCATTTTTTTTCTGTCTGGCATATTATATCCCGACGTGTATTCGGTGTTTCGTTACCGAAATGCACTTCGGGATTTTCGGGATTTTACTTAGTCATTTTTCTTGATCTGGCATATTGTATCCCGACGTGTATTCGGTGTTTCGTTACCGAAATACACTTTGGGATTTTTTGGATTTTACGTAGTCATTTTTTTCAATCTGGCATATTGTATCTCGATGTGTATTCGGTGTTTCGTTACCGAAATACACTTCGGGATTTTTAGGATTTTACTTAGTCATTTTTTTCGATCTGGCATATTGTATCCCGACGTGTATTCGGTGTTTCGTTACCGAAATACACTTCGAAAATTTCGGGATTTTACTTAGTCATTTTTTTCGATCTGACATTTTACTTAGTCATTT